AGAGAGAGAGAGAGAGAGAGAGAGAGAGAGAGAGAGAGAGAGAGAGAGAGAGAGAGAGAGAGAGAGTGAGTCACAGAAACACATTTCGCGTGTGCACTACCGGACATGCTTGGCCGATCGGGAAATTGTTTGTTGTATCCGTCATTTCTGCAAACAGAAGCATTTGAAACAAATAGAACTTTGATGAATCAATTTAATTAACGCACGATAATTGGAGCACGGAGCACGTTTTTCTGTGTTAAAAAATCAATATGAAATTTGAAAAAGAGCCCGTCACCATTAAAGACGAAGATGATACTTAAAAACTGCATTCACCGTCAATTTATCGGAAAATCGGGCGAGATTACTGGAGCACATCATCTCGCTATATCCAATTGACGGCAGATCAAATCCGAGTAAGTAAAACTTCGCTCGGCCGAGCATACATCGCGATGAAAAAGGAAGACAAATGAGAGGAGTGGTACTGACACCATCCGACCTATATACTATATACGCGAATTTGCAGAGAAATTAAATCAGAGATGCATACGCGAAATGTACATTTTTGTCGCTTTTTCGTAAACGAAGCACTAGCGAGATCTCGCATGCAAAAGAGTGTATTTGAAATTAAATCTGCGGATGATTCATTGTTAGCACTTGTATTTGCCACGCTGTATTCTCGATGGCAAGTATTATACACAGGCTTCATAAAGAGAAAGTGTTTGAAAATAGAAATATAGGTGAATATATTAAGGCAATATTATATTTTAATTTTCACTGAAATATTTTATGATATTATTTTAATACAATTAAATTATTACTCGCCAAAATTTTTGTTACATTCTCTTTAAAACTGATTTGAAAAAATGTGTACGTATTAAAACAAAAATGAAGTTTCCGTGTCTGTTGACGAGCGCATTGAAAAATACGAATGAAAAATAACACTTTGAAAATCATAATAGTGCATCCATTAACTTAATTTTTTATCTTTTTACATTATTGTACACGCTGCCGCGAAGTAGGTTGTTCCATATAATTCTCCGCTGTTGATGTCATCAATATATATAGCTATCCTATTGCTTGTCACACATTATATACGGCAGCTGCAAAAGTTTTAATTTTGCGGGCGATTGCGAAAGATGACTAACAAGCAAAATCCATGTCAAATAAAGTCAAGCTTGAGATAAATTATTTTTACGATCGCTTGTAACACGTTGCAAATTGTGTGCTGCAAATTTCGCTAACGTGCGTGAGAGCGGAGCGTTGGACGGATGCATTAACGAGCACGTGGAAGGACAAAAAAAACCAAGTAAAATTTCCATAATTTATCGCGGGCCATTGCGCTATTTCTGCTCACGTAAAATCTTGCGCGTATTTTCAACTACGACTATCGAATTCTCCCCCTGTGCACGTCGTAGTCGATAACGAGTGGTAATTCGGGTGCGGAATGGCCCCAATTCCCGTTTTTAACGCTTTCGCTGACCCTACAAAGCGAATATGGAGATTTGATGACGCGTCATTTAGCTACAAATGGCGTGATGCAATACTCGAAAAACATTATTCACAAATACCTTAATACTTTGCGGCTGAAGTGCAACTTGGTCTAATTAATCTTGTGCTTACATGCTGTTATTGCGGTAATTATTGTGTTCGTTATTATTATTATCGGTGCTAACAGAAACTGTGCAAACAAACGTACTGCCTAATTTATCGTATCCATATTAATACTATCAACATTACTATTAATATTATGAAAATTTATTTTCATGCATGTTTAATACATGCGCGTTACGCACAACTTACAAACATTTTCAATTATACAGTACGGTTTAAAATTATTATGATTTATTATTTCCGCGAAGTATAACTTCTAAAAATAACGATTTAATTTAAGGGGATTTAACTTCATTATTTGTATTATAAAAGTTAATAGCAGTGAATTAATTTTTTTAATAAGCGAGAGTGCTTGTTTTACTTAAGTAAAATAATCAAAGGGTCATTATTTTGAAACTGAACTTGTGTTATTCTCATATAATTCCCCTTTTTTGCATGCGAAAAGGAGAAAGATCGCTCCTCTGTTTCCCCTGTTTTTTATAATTCCCTTTGTTAATAACGGTGCTTTAGTTTCAGTGCCGTGAGGCACCTCGCGATTTTTACGACCGCGCTCGCGCGGCAGAACCGACGTGGCTCACGAAGAAAGTTTTTATAGCGCGGTGTCCCGTTTTCTCGCGAACACCGTCCCAGCACAAGTATTCGCGCGGAATTATTCTGGCCGCGCGACACGAATTATACGAGCCACTTGAGCTCGACTGAAATTATTCGGATTCGCGTCGCGAACTCAAATTAACCCGTCCATTGTCGAACCTTAAATATCGCCCGTGCGCATACATATAAAATTTTATCTCGCGCGGAATAGTTTACATAATTCCGTATGATTTATTATGAATGTTCATTCATATCAAATTTCTAATTTATAATTATGTCAATTATATATATTGTTTGCACTAGTTATCTATCAATCGCAAAATACTATACTATACTATATAAAGAATGTATGTTTATGTTTTTCTTATGTATACATATATTTCTAAATGCTTTTTTTATGTCTTCAACTTTTTTATTAAATTTTGCTCGCGCGCGATATCGCTAATTTAAATATTTCATTATTTCACTTTAATAATGTAAAAATTTATGCATTTTTTGCGTCGCAATCTTGATCATCAAAATTACTTGAATTGCAATTTCTGGAATTGTAATTTTATCAGGAAGGAGTGATTAAATGCAGGAAAAAGTGCCTGGCATTTGATAAGTAAATAGTTCTCGTTTTACTCGATCTATGCGGTAGCTCGTAAGAATGACCGAGCAAATTTGCAGATGACTATTTTTAAAAATCTCACGTTCTTCGCTCTTCTCACTTCTCGGAAATCGTAAAAACCGCCTGCATTCGCTGCTTTGATGCGGGAATTCATTAATGCGAAAATACGTACCTGGAGTACCTCGCGCACTCGTAAACGATCTCGGGCGCAGCGTTGGGTCCCTTGATTCGCGGATAGTTGCAACGCCGAAAGGAACTGAAGAACGCGTCCGCTTTTCCCAGCAGTCGTCCCTGAAATACACAAGGCCGCGGAAACGCGACGGTTACGCTACTGCGTCTTAACGCCGGGTTTTATAATAAGGCTTGGGAAACGAAAGGGCTCGTTAATCATAAAGTTAGGAAGATCCAGAGAGTAATCTTAAAATAGCGTCGTAATAAAAATAGTTCATAAAAAAATAGAATTTGCATGAAGATTATAAGATATCTTTCTCTTTTTTGATATAAACTTTTTGAACTGTTTGCAGAGTGGAAGGTAATTGCAAAATTAATTTGAAAAATATGAATAAGCATAACATAGTGGACAGATGTTGATATCGGCGTTATTTAAACGCTGCTTATTCTTAGTATGAAAATCCTTACTAGATTGCAGCATGCAACAATGTCTGGAGCAAAACCCTTATGCATTCTATTCATTTATATGCGAGGCAATGGCACAGTGAGGAAATTTTCCTCCGTTTCCAGCAGATTTTACACGGCACCAAAGAAACGGAAAATGTCTCACCGCCCTGTTTGAATGCTTTTGATTGCTTCTCTTAATACGGAAAAAATATAACACGACCGTCTGACGGAGGAGGAGGTCGTAATAAGCTCGCTTGTCGTTTGCCAAATGCCGTTTTCTCCAAGCTCGTTTCTTTTCGCATTTGTTTTCATTTAAAAAACCGTAATAAAAGTCTTGACTGGATACAAAATTATAGCACGGTTTTATAAATAAGCTCTTTTTTCAAAGACTTATATAAATAGAATTATACGCGTTTAAAATATTTTTTTAATTGCAAAGACACATTTAATATTTAATTCTTTAAAAGACTTATATCAATATTTTTTTATAATTTTTTTCATATTAAAAATGCTCGATTTTTCAATGTAACAATATGAACTAAAAAACAAAACGGTGTGATTAAACAAAGCTCTGGAAGTAAATCGCGTCGAGAACGGTAGAATTTGTAAAATAAAATTTATTAAAAAATTATAAAAATTATTTACTACAAATTTTCGCGATGTTTTATCTAAACGGTAGAGAAATGCTACGAATAGTAGAAGGCGTTTAACTTGTATTCACTATAAATTTCGAGAAAGAATAAATAATGAATGTTGGCAATAGAAATCACGTAGAGAAAATAATTGGTTTCGACGAGAAGTAGCATCCATTAATTAATTCGATGAAACGTCTTGAGCAACAGGATTCCTCTAGCAACAACACTCTCTTTATAAACTTAGATTCCTACAGTGACTCGCTGTATTGCGAACTGATACCTCATTAATCATAAACAGTACACAGGCGGGCTCTCAGAAACGAAATACATATCTACAATCAGTAGATTTCAGAGAAGGAAACTGTATTGATTTTTTTATTGCCTGCCATTAATTTACGTAAAAAAGTTTGTGGAGGATCGTGCGAAGTTGAGCTGTTAGTAGGAGATGCGAAATAAATTTAGAGCGGATAAGATCGTCGACGCGTGACCGTATAATTAAAAAAAAAAAAGAAAAACGAAATTTTTTACTTTTCAAGAGTATTTCGTTCACGACGCGGAGAATATGAACGATTCGATCGCGACCGGGACTTCGTTTACAAACTGCGTTGACAATCTGCAACAACATCGGCTAGGTAAAGGCAAGTAGTCGCACGAAGTACAAAGTTACCCCACTCGAGGATATTCGCCTCATCAACTTCCCTCTTCCAAGTTGCCGGTGCCCAGAGCGTTCTTGTCTCGTTCAAGAATCTTGTACGCGTAACGAACGTCTCAGTAAGTTTCAAGGACCGAAATTTTGCCTCGCATCACAGTCAGGACTTCGTTACACTTGTTGACAATGCCTGCTACAGTTAGATTGTAATCATTTAATTGTCTGAATCACCTTCGTTACTACGTAAGCGCGTTATTGTGCTGCATTATCCTGATACATAATCGGAATTGTTATTGCAGTTTGAACAAGTAGTTTTTTTTTTTAACAGAATGGCCTTAAATTTTTTGTCATGCTTATTAATACGGGCACAAGTAGCACTTTTTTATATTTTTAATAACATTTTTCAATAATTTGTTTCTTTTTTACTTTATATTCTCAACTTTGCTAGACTTGCGATTGAGATACAGTTGGTAACATAAATCTATATTAAAGACACGTGTACTGTGAAACTAATGTTTCAGTTTCGTTGTTACGTTCGTCGTTTAAAACGAAGAATCCGATTACTATCGCCGCTGTACGATCCATCTTGTCAGACGACTCGAGCTCGTTCGATTTCTCACGTTTTCTTTGCCGTCCACCTTTCGCCCTTATTTCTGTAGCTTTTCTTATTTCCGAGTTGCTCCTTTCCCGCTACTTTTCCGGTATTCCTCTTCCTTTGTCGTAGACTGCACCTTTAGTATTTCATTTTATATCTCGCGCACGAACGTACCGATGTGAAAATAAAACGTAAATAATACGTGCGAGCAACTTTATCTTGGAATAACGTCGTAATCTTATCTCTATGTTAAAACGCGCAAGTGTAACGACGCCTTAAGACAAAAATCTCATTAATTCGAATTATGACAGAGACACGCTTCACCTCCAACTCCTAGCTAATTTATTAAATACATCGATACGCGTATAATCGGATTACGCTTAATTGCGCGGCAAAAATAAAGAATTAATGGGCACTTTGTGTCGTCGCGTCGCTTGGAACTCGAACGAGACACGTCTTGAAATTCGAGTTCGCAAGTTTTAGCCGTCTGCTTTCGCAATGAATACCTCACGAGCGAAAAATACCTTGAGAGTGAAAAATGGATTGCCACTAGAATACGTAAGGTGAATTTCAACCTAATGCAATAAAGATATACAAAATCCATTTTCACGTGAATAGCTTTATTGTAGATGGGCTATGCAATGCCAATACAATTCTTTAGTACTCGATAAACTTAGAATCTCTTATTGCAATCGCGAAACGTTCTCGGCGCATCGTAAGCTCGTGAGATTATCGGTACCGACACTTTGCCGACCGCGCACGCAAATTTCACAGGTTTTATCGCGACGACTATTAAATCGCTTTACGACCGTGTCGGAGAAATGGTGGAAGTCGTCAAAATCATCGATACGAGAAGCCCTTCAACGATATGATGAGGGGAGAGAGCAACTTTCTTCGTGTCTCCGCGCAATTGTCACGTGTATATATACGTGTTACATGGATAAAAGTCCCGAAGATGCGCGAACTATGATCATACCAAATCTGAAATGACCCTTCGTCGAAGTTACTCGAACGTGAGAACGACATCGTACAGTTCGATGGCGATAGAACGAGGAAGTTCCATGTCGTGAAGTTCCATGCACTCGATAAGCATAATTTTCGAACTTGCCAGTTATTGGTTATCTAAAAGTTGTCGGTCGTTCCGTAGTCACGTGAAAACTGAGCGCGACTATAAACCAATCTGTATATCATTCCGCGAGTGAAACGTAAAACTAATTTAATGGTGATCGATAATAATCTAGCTTACCAGTGCTATCTGATTCAACGAGTCGCTCTCATATTTATCGATACACTGCTGTGCGATCGCCCCGTTAATATTGCACGTTAATGATCGAACATCGGGGCACTGCGCGCGGAACGTATCATGCTTTAGAGATATCGATTCAATTATGAAAGGGGAAAAAGCAAAGAGCGAGCAAAAATTGCGCGTTGCATCAATTATCCACGGCTACTTCGTAACTCTCTTAACTTTCTTCGAAATTACTTTAACTACTCCAATCTCCGAAAGTTCTTCGACGCGAGAAAAAATGCAAGAAAATTTAATTCTCTAACTTCGGCCGAAGTTAGAGAATTAAAAATTTGGAGATTGCGGCGTAATGCGATTAAATGCTAAGTGGCGATTTACCTGAATCCAGTAAGGCAGGTAAAATCCGGCGCACGCCAGAATCGAGACCACGGTGGACAGAGTAGCCCACAGCACGCACAACACTGTCATCTCATCGGTTTAAGAGCGTCCGCCTCTCTCCCTCACGCACCCCCGTTCATCCTCCATCCGTGCATAACCGTGTGGAGGTCTGCTCCGAAAGCGCTAGTCAGAGTCTCGACCGCGGAACTTGGACTGGACGCACCCGCGAAACGCGACGACGTGTGTCTCGCTTCGTTCGATCGTGATCCAAAATGTGAACCGGCGTCAAACTCGCACTCTCCGTTAAATCGCGCTCTCTTTACGCCATGGCTGGCAAAAGGCGTCGAATCGATCGTGTGCGAGTGACATTTATTACGCTATTGATGATCCTGTCGCAGCTCGTTTGACGCTCGCGGGACGTTAATTTCGGAGATCGATCGGCCGCCTAATCGCGGATCAGCGCATGCCGGCGACGCGTTATCTCGTGTTCGAGTGCTTCAATCATCCCCGGTCTTCGTTGTCGTTGTCTTTTTTTTTTCTTATTCTCTCGACGCAACGCCAACGAGGCGCTCGGCGCCGTTAATTCGGACTTCCGCGAGATTACGTCGCTCGTAAAACGTGACTGAGCTACCGCGTGTCGTTCCTTCGAATGAGTCACGCGGTTAATTTTAATTCCTGCTCCGTGATGAGTCTTGCGGCGAAAATTGGTATTGAATGATGACGAAGCGACGGCGCACTTGCCCAATTTACTACGCTATTTATATACGGAAACTAATAGGAAAGTTACACTTCTGAATGACTGCACAATTCACTCACTTCATGGAGTTCCATGATCGATTTACTCCACTCGCAACTATCGACGAAATCCAAATTCATTAGCCCGTAAAACTTGTTAATATTGTTCGTCGATAATTATCCTGTTTAATTGTTTCCTGAAGTTACATGACTCGCTGGATCGATCGAATTCACCAATCGACGTGTGACGTCTATTGCGACGCGTTTCCTACTCCTTAATCTGTCAGCGGGATCCTTCACTTTTTCCTGCGTCGTTAATTCATCGAGAGTTTTTTTCCCATCGAAAGTCACGGCTCGATTTCTTGCAGGGATAGTAACTCGTTCTGCTGCCAGACGCGTCCTCCGTGGTTAATTATAGACCCGACCACTACCGTGGCTCACTACCCACGCTGCGTGCTTGCTCTCCGGCGTCCCCGATAAGTATTCGTGCGTCGTACCGTCCGAGACGGCTCGTTTCGGAAGCAAGCAACGTACTCACGTCCGCGACACCGAGGATTTCGAAAGAAATTGCGAGAAAAGAGATCGCGTGACGAGGGTGGTCCCCGTTCGTACGGTCCAATGACGTTCGAAATTTAATTTCGATCCGGTTCGACTCGGGCAACCCCTTCGAGCGAATAGAGACGAGACGACCGACGGCGGAGACGAGAGCGGGATGCGGTAGTAGCGTGCGCGAATGTCCGACGTCGTCGTCGTCGGCGTCGTCGTCGTCGTCGTCGTCGTCGTCGTCGCGCACGGCGCCGCTTCGTGGCTGCGACTGAACGGTTCCGTTCTCCACTCTCGGCGCGTTCCTCCTCTCCTCTCGTCTCACTGGCCCACCCGCGCCTGATCGCGCCGCGCCGCGCCGCGACCGCACTGCGTGGGAGAACGGAGAGCGCCGCGACGCAGCATCCCGCTCTCGGACATCTGGCGAGCACACGCACGGTGCACGGTCACCGTCGACGCGCGTACACGCGCATATACGACGGACGGACGGACGTATGCGTGCGCAACGTAACACGTGTACAAATCACACTGCCAACGTACCCGTTTGTTAATGGAGATCAAATAATCGCGGTACACACACGCCTTGTTAATCGCTCTTGTCGGCGAGATAAATATGACATGGTAAATTTGTTAAGTATATAAATGCGAACAGATTGAAGAATTTTGTCTCAACTACTATTTTTCGCGCGGGATTTTTTTTTACTGCGACGACAGAGTTCATCGTTCTTTCTCTTTCTCTCTTTCTCTCTCTTTCTCTCTCTCTCTCTCTCTGCTATTTCGGCATTAATCATTTTTTTTCAACATGTATCGGCACACATCAATCGATAGTTTGATGGACAGACTCTAACAGGGTCCCTGGTGTATCAGTTTAGAGATGAAGGGCTCGACGCTTCAGTTGTCATGCGCTAGGCCAAAATAATTGAGGGCTTATGCTATCCGCACGCTACTACTACTATTCATTGATAATATCGCGACAATATTGATTGATGCAAACGATTCTTCAATTGTTTCGGTTTACTGTGTTCGATATCGTGATGGCAGGATTTCGTCGGAAATGCCGTTCTTAATAAAATAATGAATAATTTTGTTGGGTTAAATGCGCGAAAGCCGCGCGATCCAGAATGAGCAATTAGGCGATAGCCGAGCTCGGCATAACTCCCGAAATAGTAATGCAAGGTGGAATTTTGTTCGCAAATTTGCAGCACGTGTCTTTGTCCCAAGAATTATCTGAGCTGAAACACAGAAACTCATAATTGGCAATGAAATTATCACACGTTCCAGTTCCATATATGGAAATATATTGATTTGAGGTGTTAATGTGGCATGGAGCTCTCCTGGCACGAAGTCCCCCGGGTCGGAATTGAGAATGCGTGTGACCTGTCCCACACGTCGAGCCAGAAATTCGAGAATCTCCGTGTTCAATAATGACGTGTCACTGGCTGAAATACCTCAATTGGCTGATACCGCCTATCAACAGATCCGAGTGTCCTGTTTGGCGCTTTCAGCCGCATTGAGCAAAATACTGATAAAAATATCGTTTGACAATTTCCAATAAAAGGGGGATGCCACATTAACATATCTCAAATCTATGATAATCAGAATTAAAGATACGACAATTAAAAATCGAGAGATTAGCATTATCTAGGGCGTTCCGAAAAATTATATTTTTTAATTTTTATGTAACATCGAATTACATAATATTTTTCCAATATATTTTTGATATCATTTATTAATATTTTGTAGACACTTAGGTAGTCGCTTGTTGGTAAATTCGCCGCCGCATTATTGTTCCGGTTACCTCAGCTCTGCATCCATTGTGAAGCCTCGTTAACATTTCCATCATCCATCACGGACATAGAGATGTTCTCGCTCATTCTCACCGCGTGTAATCGCGATACTGGCTATCGACGGACCCGAGTGTCCCGTTTGGCGCCGCTATCAGTCGCATTAGGAAAATAAACCGCCGTTTTTTTTTCGCTACGAGCGATGGATACAAAAAGAGATAACAAAGCCGGGAATAAAGACAAAAGCGAGATCAAAAAACGCAGTAAAAAAATAAAACCTTCCCCCAAAAAAAAGACAAACAAGACAATTCACGGTGGAAAACGACGACGCTACGATGTAACGTTCCATTTCGTGTGGAACTGTATGAAACTTTCCATTCTGCTGGGCGACGCTAGAGAAAGAACGACCTTTCGCCCATCGCCTGCCTTGCACACACGCGTGTGTGTGTTTATATGAGTGTGCGAACAAAGTTGCGTCGAGCCGACCCAACTGAGGTCATCCGATGCGTTGGTAGAGCTAGTAGACGGTTTCAAGGGCTGGTAAAGTCTCATTTCGGTGTAAATTTCATCGAGTTTTATTGTTCACAGTCTAACGCGCACCACCGCGAAAACTTGTTTTCGTAAGCATATTTTTATGCGTTTTTACCCCTCGCTACATCACTAGCTACATCATCGCGATAATAATTTCATTCCTACGTTATCTTTCTGAGACACGTGCGCTTCTATTGATCTTACTCTCTAAATGAATTTTATCAAATACTTTTTTTGCGATTTTTTATTTTATTTAGCTCACGTTTTATATTTTCGAGATTAATCGTAATCGGATAATAACGTCAATTAAACTCGTTCTAGTAGCGCTTTTGAATATTTCGGAAACATTCGACTTGGACATTCGCGAGTAGCGGCTAACCGATTTCAGAAAAATCATCAAAGGAAGATCCGACGAGAATCGATGAATGCAGCAAAGTTCCATGAACGGAGAGAGCAAGCTTCTTTTCCTCCGATATCATTGCGACGATCCGGGAGTTTTCTCTCGTTCGCCTGTACGAGAAAAGCGCTATTCCCTCAAACAGATTATGAGCCTCGGATTTATTTTTACGACCGGTCGGATCCCCCTACAACGCTCGTCTCCGCGTACCGTCGAGAACCGGTGGAGAGCTGATACCGCTCTCGCTTGATTCGACGGCGCTCCGAATCACGACACCGTGAAATATATAGCGTCGCTTCTTATAGGAAGCAACGCGAGCGAAAATAATCACCGTTGAGCGTTCAATGGTCGCGGGAGGATCGACGGATTATGCCCCTTTCGAAGCATCAGCGCGCGCGAACGTTTGCGTTTATACTCGAATTCGATTTAATACACCAGCCACATTTATCGTAAACCACGGCTGATTACATAGGAAATTAAGATACAGACGGCGTAGATACGCGGGACCGTTCCTCTATTCATATTCTTATCTCCCTCTATTTGCTCGGGTAATGAGCTCCCCGGCCGTTACATCGTCGGCGCAATGTTGCCGTGCCAACTCTACGGACGTTTCGCCCGTCCGTGAAAATGCGCGCATGAAAAATAACGGGCCATTACCGCGGCTGAATACATTGCCGGACAAATTACGCATCGTCGGGGTCAAAGACAGCGGACGGTTTAAAAAAGATGATTTATCGGATAGCGGCGCTCCTTCCGGCTGTTACGGTACGATGCGTCAAACGGAGTGCCTCGGGCGCGCGAATCTCTCTTTCTCTTCTCTTTCTCTCTCTCTCTTCCGTGATAAGAGAGATTTTACGAAAGGAGATCGAGGTCGGGATATACTCGGCGCGCACGCTAGTCGTCACTGGATCAAGAAAGGAGTCTTATCTCGGAGCGGTCGCGAGGCTGGCTGCTGAATAAATATGGTCGATTCGATCCACCACCGATGAACTTTGCGATTCGCATGGCCAGCGTCCGGGCTTACAACGCTGTAAAATGTAAAGATGACGATCGGGAAAGCGGGAAAGGAGAAAGAAAGGCAGAAAAGTGCAAAAATATCGGGAAACGGCTACTTGCAGGATTAAGTTTAATATAGAAATATTTTTTTTTATAGAAAACAAAGATCGAAATAAATATTTGAAGTTTACAAATATTGCAGCGATTTTACGAGCAAGAACATCATCATTCTTCTTGCGTACGAGATGACTGCGGTCTCGCAGTCATATTTTATGCGGTAGAAATAGTTCACGTTATGATCAATGCACCGCGAATAGTTCTGCAAAAAAGCGGCGGTTGTAGAATTGTGTACACACAGCGTAGAAAAACTTCCCCATCCTCGCACATACGACAGACGAGCAAATCCCCATCCTAGCCCTTTTCTCGTTCAACCGAATTAATCGTTCCGCCGGAAAGAATTCATTTCCCCGTAGGCGTCTAATTATGTGCTTTTTCTCTATCGACCTACGCACAATCCGATTTGTCTCCCATCATCTGACGCGAGAGAGAAAGACAGAGCGTGTACTTTCCGATGAGAATCCGAGGATGGATATGAATCACTAGCGTGGCGAAAAGCAACATATATTCACGTAATGAAAGCATTTTCCGACAAAATGAAAAGGGATGGAGCGACTGCAAAGTTATTATTTTTTAGTTGGAAAGGATCGGATTTTGCATTGAAAAATTGGAGAAATGAAACAACATCACTGCAAATTAGCATCACCGTACTATTGCCGGACGGCTTGTCCAGCTTCATCACCGCGAGTGCAGCTTGGCAGCGTTTAGATACGCTGTCGACGAGTTTTTCTGGCATAACCTCGAAATAATGGTCGCCACATGGCTCCGGTATGACGACACGCTTGTTTTAGGATATAACTTCTTTCTCTGCCTCGAGCTTTATCTTCACGGCGGAATCGAAAGCAGACAGCGGCGAAGAAATTCGTGGAAGGCGTGCCGAAGCGCTGCCAACTTGTATTCGGTGTAATGCGAGTGTATCTTTATTAAATGACAGCTCATCTTCCATAAATTGAGAAGACACTCTAGTGTTACAAACTGCGGCGGAGATCAGATGTTCGCTTAATAAGCGTGACAGATAGTTACATGATGTACAGTTTGTCGTGTCGCTATCGAGTGCTTAAGTGACGGGGATTCAACTTGAGTCGACGCTCGGGTCAGCCCCGGCGTCGGCGTCGGCATCGCCGTCAGTTCCGACGTAGACGACGTAGACAACAGAGCGGGGAGCATGCTAATGAACTCGCTTGCTTGCCAGCGCAGTACCTAGGAGGAGTTTCCCAGAGGCGTTTTAATCAAAGAGCAACGAGCAATTACAATCATTCGCGGCATCTCTCGGCTAGCCTCTTTTCCTCGGATCGCCTCAAGCGCATAAAAAACGTTAAGAAGAAGATGAGTATTTTACGTACCGCGCCTCGAATTCTTCGAAGGATGTACCGATATTACTGAACCGTGTATTGCAGAATCAGCTGTTAGACGGAATAATTCAAGTAAACGTCAGCAAAAATAAAATTTTTACATCTTCTTCGATATTCATAATCGTTTCAACGCG